TTCCCCCCCCCCCCCACGATGTCAGGCTGCAATACGTCGTACCGCAATAGATAAATCGTCGACGTAGGGGAATTGGTACGCTGGAGCGAAAAACGCCATACGAATAAGAGCGGCTGATACGATTTTTTGTCGAATTTCATTAAAATAATAATATAATTAGCCTTGACGATTGGTAAAGGGGGAAGGGGGGATGTAGAGATGGCTTGCACAGTTCAACCGGTTAGTGTCGATTATATTTAGCATTAACATGTGGGTGTACGCTGTGATAAAGCTGTCGATTGCGATTTGTTGAATGGTGATGGACGGTATAAAAAATCACAATCAAGCATGTTTAGGTATCCGTCACATTATGTATGTATATAGAAAAATTATTATCTTTGTACATGGAACCTCCACTAGGTCCGTAATTGCTATCATGCGCATAATAATGTCCAGGTTTGCTGAGACGAATGATCGATAATTCGACGTACGTGTTTTTACGCGCCTATAATAACAATATGGGAATCAAGTGACAAACAGCTATTGGCTCTGAGCTGCTTAATTGTTTAAAGAGAACAATCAACTTTGTCAGTGGAATAAGTCGGAAAGGTGACAATGTCGGAAAGTTGTGCGTAATTGTGTATATGATATGGTAGATGAAAGAGTTTATGTCGTGTAAGAATATGAAAATATAAAAGACTGTGTAAAAATATAAGGACCGTAGAAGAAATGTATGGTATGATGTAAAAATTGTTATTTTCAGGATATTCGAAGGATGACAGCGAGTGCAAATGTCAAAGTTCTACGCGCTGCTCAACAATATAGAGGCGAAAATGTTCAAAAGTTAAAGGAAATTTTTTCTTCAGCCAGCCACGTATAAAGCGGAGTTTTTTTTTTAAATTGTACGCATCTCATTTGTGCCAATGATTTATATAATCGACTGTATGAAGCTACCACTTATGGAGCGTAGCTCGGTGAATCGGCAAACCAAACGCGTATGGAGATGAAATATTTAAAGGTTGAAAATTAAAAAATTGAGTTTTCAAAATTTATTTGTGCCTATTTAACATTCTCATGAAATATATTTGAACTTTTAATGCTTGTATATATATATATATATATATATATATATATATATATATATATATATATAATTGTTAACACAGTTTGCCTAATCTTTGACTTCTTTTTAAGTTGAGATCGAAGACTTTTGAAAGAAAAAAACAATATTGATCAAAATATCTTACAAGATATAGATTTAATAAGAATAAAAGAATATCATATGCTTAATTTTCGTATCGACGTTTTCATAGATGAACTTAATATTAAAAAGATGTCAAATAATTACCACCACGAGTGTACAACTCCTTCACGAGTCATTTATTTTACGAACGTCGAGGTTTTACGTTTTATTGATTTTTCTCAGCCATATTAAACGTTACTCAAGAGTAACTATTTTTTTTTTTAATTTTTTCAAGAGCACGAAATCGTATCTACAGTCCGTGCAATATTGTGTTATGTTATTGTTAAACATAACTTGTCAAATGCAAATTATTATCATTTTTTCCTATCAGGATATTTGCGTTTAAATTAAATAAATTAAAGTTAACGGAAAAAAAACAATGAATATCGTAGTACGATGTTTATGAATGTTTAGTGTACGATTGTCGGGCGGGATTAGGGAGGGGGGGAGAGCAAGTAAACGAGGAGCGAATGTTTATGAGGGGGAAACGCGAATTCCGTTGTGTACAAAAGAGTGGAAAGACTCGCTTCCAATCCGAATTTATGAGGGTTGCAGTGTTGACTGACCTTTCGGAGCGCTATAATGATTTTATAAATTGTTTGTTTTGCGTATGTGAGATATATGTAAATGAAACTCTTAGCGGCAAATATTGTTTTTTTTTCCTTTATTTCTTTTTAGTGTAATAATATCGTTATAGGAGTTTATTCGACTCAAACTCCCAGAGAAGCCGGCAACATTGAAGTTACAACAAAAATCTCAATTTCTTTTTAAATTGTACAATTAGTTACAATTATTATTTGTATTTACAAATTATTGCATAGAGTAATTAAATTACGAGATTCGTCAAAATTACCCCTAAATCGAGAATGAAAATTTCCCAAAATATAAGCCACGAAATTGTATTTTTTTTTTTTTTTTTTTTTTTGAGAAAGGCGCTCCACGAAGTGGCTAGTGAATCCTATGAAATTCGTAACTTTTGAAGTTGTTTATTGTGTTTTTAAAATCATTCGATTGTCGCAGACATTTGTGTCCTGACGTGGAATAAATGGGCAGAGAAAAGAGTGAAAATCTTAGAATGCAACGCCCCATTCACCGAGGAACAGAATATATACGCATTTCATCATGAAGG